AAGGCTATTTTTGTAAGAGGAACGCGATTCCGAGTTCAGGCTCTTACGTTTTCACCTTCTTTTATCTCTGTCGCGATTGATTTGCACACTGGTGTTAACCGAACAAATTTGATCTATTCTAACGAGTATCACAAACTTGTAAATCCTTCAATCTTCTCTCGTTTCTTTTTTCTTGTTTTAAATCACGAACAACATTGTTGGTGATCGACAGAAGCTACTAATATAGCTACCGTGTGTACCTTAAATATTATGTCAGATTGAATTGCAAATTGTTTCGCTCACCGACGTACGCCCGCCGTACGATTTTAACATAAATTCAGAAAGGCTTCCTTGCGCGGCGAGGCACAACACCACAGTCCGACAGTCGCGTCGAAACGCGATTAAAAAAACGCCTCTCGGAAGTTCGAGGACTGATCCATTGTGAACTAGAACTAAATCGGTTCACTTAAGAAATAGCACGTGTCAATCACGTGAATACGTTCTGCGTATACCATCTAAGCACATCATTCTGGTTGTGACCCTCGATGGAGGGAAGGTTAGGCAACTAGCTCACTTCCTTCGTTTAAGGAAATGGCCTATTCTCATATATGCGTGTTAATTTCAATTTAATAGAGAGAGAGAGAGAGAGAGAGAGAGAGAGAGAGAGAGAGAGAGAGAGAGAGAGAGAGAGAGAGAGAGAGAGGGGGTGAAGAGTCACTATGTAATAAAACACGATCGACCGACGCCGAAACGCCCAGTGTTTCGTTTATCATCCGTTGACGAGCAAATGCGTTTGGTACGCAAATTTTCGTTGTTTTCAAAATTATTGCAAAGTACAGTAAGACCTCGTTCAACGATTCGATGCTTCTTTCTTTTCAAATTCTACAAAAGCTGTAAATAGTCCATGACGATAGAATCAATCAAAGATTTCAGAAGAGCCTCGATCTTCGACAACACAAAAATCAATCTTTTCTTTCTTTTCTTTTCCTTTTTTTTTTTTTTTTTTCCTTTTTTTTTTTTTTTTTTTTTTTTTGTTTAAATAAAACATCGAAATATAAGGAAAAAACTAATTTTATTAAATGTATAAAAAAATTACGGACTTATTTTAGTAAGAAGTGATTTTTGGCTCACTCTGTGTATATAATATATAAGTTTTGCAATATAGTATTATATTATATATAGTATAATATTTGTAAATTATATAAACTTACGAGTCAATATAAAAGTAATTTAAGATTAAAGTAAAACTTCTTTATCTTTGATCGTACGTGTTTCTTTATCTCTATTAAACGTAACTCATCTTATTTGACGCTTTTAAGAAGATATCTTGATCGAGAGATTACTGTGCTTTAATGTCACAAGAATGTTTCTATCTATATTACACTTACTCGAGTAATCGAAAATTAGTCGAAAGATCCGAGCTTAAAGATGTACGCCGTGAAAAAGTAATTAATAAAGAGTTATATCTTTCCATTTTCAGTCACTGAACACTCGACATTGACATCCACTATCTTCTGATAATTTTAACTTAAAATTCTGATCCAAAGCACGCGATGAGATTAATCGAGCTAATCAGTCAACGCTGAGAAAAAAATGTTTCGACAGCATTTTATATGTTTTTCGTTCAAAGTAATGAATTGTTAAATGTACTGGAGACACATTTCTCAGCTCGCGGTAAATTCTAAGTTCAACTAAAAGATGCATGCATGCATTGACTATGGTACTAAAATAGAAACATTGTTCGGTTCGTGTGTCGAAAAATCACAGAAATAGCGAAACAGCTATTGTGATATGAGTTATTTATATGTCCGAATTTCTAACACTGTCTTGTGCAACAAATGCGAGAATATTCCTTCCCGTATCGTTGATATTAAAATTAATGACGTGTATAATTCGATATGTGTGTCAGTGATATTCATGAAAATAAACGAGATCTATCACTATGCAATCAGATTATTAACTTTCTGTCAGATTTGACACTTAAGAAAGAAGAAGGTCAAAAATTAATTCTAGTAGGAAATTTCTACTGGTAATTTAGAATAGGAAACTCAACGGGGAGAAGAATTTAATAGTGCAAGAAGTAAAAGCGTGTCGAGATCTTATTAGATTACAAAGAGAAGAATGTATTCTAATGAGATCATGCTTCGTGCATAAATTCTAAAACAAATTTAAAAAAATGATATTATAACTCTGCTCTTTAAAATGATATTACATGCTCCGCAATATTCGTCACTATTAGTATGTACATTAAAAGATCACTGCACAGTATCAAATACATAACATTATCGATCACGCTGTATACACTTGTGAAACTACGACGAAGTCGCTGATATCTACAAAAGACTTTGAAACCGCGAAAGAAATCGTACAAATGTTTTCGATTTTTTCCCCCAATTGAAAACAGGAATTACTTTTGATAGTGATAAAATCAATTTACGCACTGAAAGTCGTTCGTGGCGTATAGTATAATGTGATAGTATAATATTATTACGAGCACGCCGTAAATTTCATTTGATAATTCGCTTTGTTTTCGAAAAGAAAAATTTCTTTCAGCTATTTACAATTTAAAAAATCAATGTAGACAAATTGCTGACAATTAGAAAGAGAGAAAAAATGCGATATATATATATATATATATATATATATAACGTTAGCTCTTATCATTATTGATAAATGACAATTGCGAATAATTCATGCAGGAAAGAAGCTATTATCGTAAGAGAGTGGGCCCGAGTTTATGTATCGCGTGTAGTTTGATTCAAAGGTCATGCTGTTATGCGCTGGGGGTCCTGATAAACTTTGCCAACTTCTAATCGCGAAAAATTTCAAAACATGCAGCTGACAAAGTTGCAAGTGTATATATTGATTATTAGACAGAAAAGGATTAACAATTGTCAACAAGATCAAACGATTGTCAATAATTTAAAAGATAACAGACATTGAAAAGATGGTTCTAGACCATGGCTAGTTGTTGAACAACTATTACATCATTGCAACTGATGCAAATATTAGACTGTATAATTTTATATTTTAAAATTATACTTATAAAGTATAAGCACAGATAAAGTACAAGTACAAGTGCAAAATAAATCAATAAATTTATCGAAAGATTTATACAAAAGTACACAAAGTTTATCGGGGCAAGCTTGATCACTTTATTTCATCTATCGTTAATTTAGCTCCACCTAGTTAGAAATAAAAAGAACAGAATTGCTGATAATGAAGAACGCTACTATATGAGTAACTGATAATTAAAGAACACAGAATGTACCGCGAATATTCAAATGATATCTCGAACGATCTTGTGCAATCTATCCAATATTAATATAAAAAAAAAAAAATAATAAAGCAAACTACCCAGAGAGAAACCTATATATAATTAGAATAAAAAAACGAATATATCCATTTTCCCATTAGCAGCTACTAAACTTATTGTTAGTGAGGTCTCAAAAGTCTCGATATCCTTCTTTTCTCAAGAGGTGTCCATCTCTTAAGTCAAATCTTGAAAAATTTAATTCCCTTCGGAGCATCAAATGATCAAAAATATAATGTTTTCAAAACGTGGAATATATCAAACAATGTTCATTCCCCCTTTCAAAAAGAATCAAGAAAGAAATAATGTGTCCAAGTGCAACAGGTCGCTATCGTCGCATAACGCAACAAGATCCTATCTGTTGAACAAAGGGGCATCGTTATCTAAGCGATTAGTGCACGCGCCAGAACGCGGGCTAAAATCGGTTACTCGCACAATGCTAAACCTCCAAGCCGACTCGAAGTTGATTTCTCAGGAAGAAAGTTGATATCCACGTGGATCCAATTTTGTTCGTAGATCGTGTTCCCGTCTGGCGAACTGTGCATGCTTCGCGTCTAATATAATAATAGCACCGCAAAGACAGAGACGTTGTATACGAAAATCAGCAGGTTACGATTTAATTCAAATGTTTCTTTTTCTCTAATCTAAAAATCTAAGAAAAAAAAACTACTTGGATCTCAATTCAATTGCAGTCGTACTTGAGTTATTCTACGCTGTCAGCAAACGTCAGACCGTTTAAATAACATATTGGTATTGAATTCATGCATTCGATTATACCTCGACCTGCAACTACGTCATTCACCGTGATCTTGTTAATCTCCAAAACAGATTTAACATTATCATACAAATTGTCGTTATTTTTTACGCAGTAAAGCACGGTCGATTCAGTTTCTTTTTCATTCCAAAATGTTTTCTATACGTATGAATTGCGAACCATGTACCATTAACGTCACGCCTCATAAATTATTTATATATATATATACTATATATATATAAACGTTACCGACGAATTTTAAACGGCAGAAACGCATCCGAGACGATCGAATCGATTGTTTCGCGCTGATAGCTTCACCGATGACACTGAACACCGGTCATAGGACACGCTGGAATTTTCGTAAGAAATTTCGCGCTCGACTGGCAGCGTGTCCGCTGGTAACAACCATACCTTACAATCGGCACGTGATCCTAATTCTGTCGGTGACGCACACGAAATGAGCTTTCAGTGAGTTTTTACACGTATCTTTATGTAAACAATGCAGCTGAATAATGTTTCCATCATCAGCAAGCGAAACGCGATACGACGATAAACATTCAATAAACACATAATTACACGTGTTAATTAACTATATGTGTGTCAGTGACGTAATACATATTGCGATGGGGGGTTTGCTCTTGTTTGCCGAATACTCCAGCATTTTAACACTGGACCTACCAAAGTGGTCAAAATGACCAATTTATAATTTCCGTTAGATATTTTATAGACGTAACAACACTGTACTTTTAAAGGTTTAAATAATTTTTTGCAAAATATATAAATGAAAGCTCATATACATTGTATTATTATAAAGATATTTTGTTTCTTTGACTCTGATGTCTCTGATGGAAATTTTATGTTTCAATCATCGGCAGTTCTAGTGTTAAAATGCTATTAGCCAATTACAATCTGTACCTGTAATTGTACCCATATCAGAGAAGTGAATGTACTCACATTTATTGACGCCGAACGTAATATCGGAGAATTGTACAGCGCGATAAGCATTGCTATTAGGAACAGCGCGAAGATTCGACGGGGCAAAGTCCGGGTCATCGATGTCGAAGGACACGTTTTCCTCGAATTCCGTCATAGTGCTCTCCATGATTTCGAAAACACCAAGCCGCCAAGCTTCGTCTTGGAACACCAGGTAATATTCGGAACACCTGCAACGAGAAGAAGAAATTAATACGTCAAACGTAGAATTCGCAGCAAACGATGAATAAACATCAAACGGAGTTTTCATTTGATCATTAACAAGCTTCCAGGATTATACTTTGAATTCAAATTAAAATTTAATTATGAATTGTAAATACTTATGCGCGATTTATGCGAGATAACATGACAATATATTTATACAAGTGGCAGCGTTAAAACATTGATACGTTCTTTTCCCTGCTATGTTTGATCAACGTTTGGTATCTGTAATATCTGTTTTTATCTGGATTTGTACGAAATTGTTAGGGACACGAGTACATGGATCTTTGCTTTTGTTTCAATCTAATGCCTCGTGAAAATCTGCCAGCGAATTTTAGAAAAGTATCAGAAATGGTACTTGTTACAGCTCAGCGCGATGTGTCTTTTACAGCCGCCGGAGAGATGTTTTAATGAACGAATGCGAGATGTAGAATAAATACTTATAATCAACTATTATACAAATGTTGATTGTGAGTATGTGTGTTGTAGGAATCGGGCACGCTAGCTCTCCTCGTGAAGGACTCACTTTTACTGTGCGACTGATTCTGACTGACTGATCGAATGAATGAATCGATATGGGTTTACATATGCTACCAGGGAAAGTCGGCATGGTTATTGCCTTTAAACCGTCAATAAAACCTCAAAATACCAAATGTTGGAGTGTGTACTGCAGGAATCTACGTGACTTTCTCGTAAGGAGCCTTTTTTTCTAGGCTGGGCTTTGTTTCTATCCTACCGAGTCTTTCCCTCTAAGGCAAGAGAAAGTGTCCTTAGATGAGAGTATAACAGGACATCTGGCAATCCGGCTGTCTGTCTCGAGGTGTTCTGTTCCAGAAACAGTACTTATTATTCAATAGCATGATATCGTCACAATAGTATATCGTTCCTTTGAAACCAAACTAGAGATAATCCACAAATATCTACACATTATACACACGTGTTATCAGAATACTTTTATTGATCTTCGATCAGTAGTTCAGTGGTTCATGACAACATACTTAACGTTCTTTCGACTACAATACCTAAATGGACCGTAGTGGCGAAGATTTAGCAAATTTATTCATTCATTTCTATTCTTTGATTGCCGACCTTGGCTTACGAGGTGATCAAACTAGCTAGAAATTTATTAAACAACAAACGTTCACCTAAACTGTCATAATACGTGATGAAGCACCTCACTGAAATATTTTGAAGGCACACTCTGTTGCAATACCTTGAAATTAATGAATGTATACGTATATATATGTATATTATACAAAAGCAAGGTCAGTCCATAGAGCACGTCGATAGTTTACATTGTTAATTTTTTTTTTTTCTTTTCCTTTCTTAATCAAATACCATTATAATATCAATCATTACACATATCATAACAACAATAAATGAATTCGCAATCGACGCTGCGCTTAAAAGGAAGAAATCCATTTCCAAAAGAAAAGAACTCATCCGGTGTGTTAGGATTCAGTAGTATGTGTGCATTTACATTTGTAATGTCCTGATTAAAATGCAATAGCTGTAAAGAAAAATAAATGATTTTTTTTGAACGAAAGATATAGGCGTTCAAATGAGACAACAGGTTTTTCTTTCTTGTCGAATGTCGAATTGTCGCACAAGTGGATAACACAAACGGGGACAAATTAATTTTTTTTCTCCATAAATGAATCAATTCGAAAATGGCGGGTCATTTGAGACACGAATATTTACAATATTTACAATGAATCATAAAATCTATAATTGTGACATTAACAGAGATAGAAGAGGAAGGGATAAAAAAAAAAAGAAGTGAAGGAGAAGCTTTAAGATCGAAGGTAAAACGAAACATCTGCCATCTGCGCTGGTAAGAAATAGCACGTGAAAAATTGTAATCGATGGCATTTAACAGATCCGAAGATAAAGCGGAACAAAAGTGGCGCATCAATGCAACAATCTGCTTTGTACATACATCCACTGCGTAACTGGATACGTAGGAGTCATAACTCCTTTCTTGTGACGAACACTGTTCAAACTGTTTTGAAATTCCTCAACAACTTCTTTACAACACGATACAGCGGCACATGCAACGAGCGATTAATATATTTTTCTAAATATACCTCGTACATTATAAAAGTACCTGCAACATGCTATGTACATACAAGAGCATACAGCATAATGTACAATATGCCTTGTGTACTGTTAAAAAGTGCAATTTGTGAAATTAAATTAAATGAAAAAGACTTTCGTGAAATAACACGTGTCCTCGAATAATTGAAAGATAACTCCAACAGTTTATCTTGATCAATGCTGCATGAACAATTACCACGTATCGAGGGTATAATACTATTAGAGAGGCTTATCGCGAGAAGAAACGAGAAAACTTGAGGATAAGTTGTAAAGATTTTCAGTTAACAACGGGGCGTTAAATAAAAAAATATTTGTGGGATAGTTCAATACAATGCTAAACTTCCAAAATAATTGATTGACCATCACTAGTAAGTATCAATTATGATATGATAAAATATCCATTGAAATTTTACTGAAAATACAACAAAATTTCGTGCAGAAAAATGTCACACGTCGTGCCAGTATTTTGTCTCATGTTTTTATATTGTTCTAATTCAAACGTAAATTCATATTCATGAAATTAGAATGATATAGAAATACACGGGTCACCCTAATTCACACAGATATTGTCAAACAATTATGTACTTTTTCAACTAGATACATAAAAATTTAACAACTTATTCTTGCAAGTAACGGATAAAACTATTTTAAAGCCGTTCGAAGAACATCGAGACACTCAAGTAGGAACACATGAAATTTTGATTACGCAAAGTGAATCGTGTAAACATACACATGTACAACCTGTTGACACTGACCCTTATTCTTGATGTTTCACAATTCGTTGACACTGAATTTTTAAATACTTCCGCGAGTGGGAAAAACGATGCGATATCTTTACAAACAACACGATGGTTGAAGGTTGACTGACAATTTGACACGCTATCACGCGGGAAATTTGTCATACGTGTTTGCCTAAATATGTATTAGCAAGAAACGAAGACGCTATCTGTTATTGGCTGTACGTACTATACTCAGAAACGAGATGCAGATTACAAAATTGAACGTTACCGCTATAGACAATAGATCCACAAAATAGATCTATTTACTATCCAATGCATTTTACACAGAAAGACATGGCGCAAAATAGATGTGACATTCGATGGCTTTTTCATCTTCCGTGTTTCACATCTCACTTATCATTTTCGTATTTACATGCGACGTTATCGATTCAGCGCACTAATGGTTTGAATTCAAACTAAATGTTGCACGCAAAAGTACTGCAAATTTTTAAGAATGATTTGTACGATCGCAATGCTAGTTAATTTACTATTGAAAAAAATTTCTTAAATTAGATAACACCAGATATCATGATAAAACACACTTTGTTTACGTAATGTTAACGTAATGTAAGTTTGTAACTTTGTTTACGTAATGTAAGTATTAATTTACGCATCTTGATACGGTTTTTTTAGTTGCGTCAGGTGATTCAAGAATATAAGACTGAAAGAAAGGCAATTTATGAGCACTACTTTAAAAAGACACGATCATTTGTTGACATAATACTACTTCTTAAAAGGAATTCGATAAAAATTATTACATAGAAAAAGAGATTGCTATTGTTGGAGACTGACATTTTTCTAATTCAAATTTAAATAAGATAAAAAGTGATAAATTTCCATTTTTTTAAGAATTTACAACAGTTTATAAACAGAAATGCTAAAAATAATCACGACATCGTATAATTTACAACGATAAAGAAAACAAAATCATTATTATATCGCAATTTTACAAATCGAAATAAACATTCTTCCGCAGCTCTAATTTAAATCGAAATCATCATCCATTCGCAGCGTAATATGATATCTTGATTACTTCGCAATTCTAATATAACCCATGATTAATTTCTCGAAACACTAATAAGAAAGCCGCGATTTGTCCAATATGTACCAGTATGTACATATATCTATTAAAGAAATGTTATTATTACTACATGCTACAAATAAAAGCAAGCATAGTGATATAGTAATAAAAAACAACAAAAATGATTTCTTACGTTTTGAATGGATTTCCCATTCAAAAGATGATAAGCCATCTCTCTGTTCATTGCTTTCTTCTATCATAATTTCTCGACTTGTAGTTGCTTCCCTCTCATCCTTGTTGCATCATTCTTCTTTGAGGACGTGTGGCGCGCGCGTTTTTAAAAACAAGTTTAACAGCGGCGACAATGATTACAAATGAAGAAGAAAATATTGTATTCCGTTGTTAAGAATCAACCAAAGCAAACGGTCGTCATAAAGATCTTGTTATACGTTAATTAAAATAAATAGTTATTGTTACAGTTTCTTGTTAAATCATATTTATTTTATAAGACAAAATAGGTGCTGCCATCTATCAGAGACTGCTGGAATTTAAGAAATCTATTATACCAACTTCGATCGATACAGATGGTACCATATTTATTTTCCTTTTAGTTCCAGTCGAATTTGAAAGATACATAAATGGCAGTACAGTCAATAGACAAGGAGAGCATTAATGCGCGACAAGGACAACGATAAATTTTAGTCAATATAAGATAAAATAAATTTTTCTTTCAATAAATTCAATTCAATTTTTTCATTTGCAAATTCATACTGATCACATTCATCCAAAGCATTTTCTTTGAAAATATCAAATTACTTAATTTAAAAGAGTTTTAAATAAATATTTTATTTAGATACATCATATTTACATGCTAGACATTCCTTGAATTCAATAATTCACAAATCGTTATCAATTAATAAAATTCTTACAAATTATTACAATTTAAAAAGAATTATGAACAAGTTTCATAATCAAATACATCAAACATAAGATATTTTATTTTAATAGTCTTTCAGAAACTATAACAAAAGATTAAATATGCTATAAAATTTTTAAGTTAATACATAGTTACTTAAAAAATCAATGATTTTTAAAACAAAATGCGATTGTGTTTGCATCAACGTTAAAGTTAAAGCATCAACAAATTTATCATGATATTAAAAAATTCTTATAACATGGCAATTAAAAAACTATAAAACATTTGCACATTTCATAAAATCATAATCATTATCATGGATTGGATCTACTTCGTTATGATATCAGGAATTTTGAATTCTTATAAAAGATCGTCAAATATTTGGTACGGCATACGGCACGTATGCATACCTACATAATAAAACATTAATGTTCCATTTACCACAAATCTTTCATTAATACATTGGCCCAAATCCTGCATAAAATACAAATAATCAACATTGTCATATTAATATTAATAATTAATAAGTATACATACTAGGGTTTGGAGGTGGACGTAATCTATACATATCTGGTGGAATAAATCGTGGTGGGAATGGTCTTAATGGACCCATCATGTGCCTAGTTCCTAAAGGTACTTGCCCTCGAATTGGAACTAAAGGCCCAACCATTATTGGTCTTGCAGGAAAATCCTAACGATCATTGAAATTTAATATCCAAAAATTATATTTCATTTATGAATTCAACTTACTCCATAGTAGAATGGAACGGGAATTTGCTCAATATAATGCGACGACGGTACTCTGTGCTCTCTAGACCTATCTCTTTCACTTCTTTCTCGAGATCGTTCTCTTGATCTTTCTCGATATTCTCGATGAGATCTTTCGTCTTTAAAAGACCTGTTGTATTAATGATTATATTTATTAAATTTAATTGTCAAAACACTGTGACATTTCACATATTTTATTGCATACTTGTGAGATTCTCTACTCCATGTTCGTTGTTCTCGCTCCCTTGAACGTGAATGATCTCGGTGACCTTTTCTTTCTTCTCTTGTAGTATGCAACTGACCATGTCGTCTGTCTTTTTCTTTATATTCTCGACTTCTGCCTCTACTACGATCTCTTTCCCTGGATAAATTATATAACAATATAATAATAGCCATGTTAAAAATAGACATGTCAAACAAATATATAAAAGAAATAAGTTATACCCATTTCTATAACTATTTCTGCCATCACGTTTTGAATCCTCATACCTAAAAAAAAGTGCTTACGTAACAAAAATTTAGTTTCTAAACATATATTTATAAGATTATAGTATTTTTTACTATAATTATTTTATAGCAATACTTTTATCCATATTTTTTACTCTATTATCCATATTTTGTGTTTCACCAAGTAGTGAATTTGTTTGTTAATTGTGACATCATTAAATATTATATAAATTAATATTATACAATTTATCAAAGAAATAATAGTGAAAATTGATGAATTATTATTACTATTTACATAGTACAATATTGCATTTATTGACTGCTATTAATAGAAAATAAATTCTTTATTTGATAGAGAAAATAGAAAATAGAAAGTTAGAAAATTTGTGTTGACTGTAATGTGTATGTAAAAGCAAATAGAATAATTTCCAAAATAATATATACATAATAAATAAAACTATAGTATGTACAAATTAAAATGTAAAAAACCGATTTGTACAGTTTTATGAAACTTATTTTATGATTAAAGATGATGTCATTAAGGATGATGCAAAGCAATCCATAAAATGTATAATAAAACAAATGATCTGCACATTATATAAATATCAAATTTACTTTTAAAACTCCAAGTCACTTACCTTTCAACAATTATTATTAATTACTACATGCTTATTGCAACAAAAAGCATTTAAAAATCGAATATAGCATACCAATGTTATATATAAAATATTATGTAATAAATCTTATTATTTCACTAACATGATAATAAAAAAATTTATATTTTTTCATTTGTTAAAAATGATTTCTCAAATATTCTAATTAGTTTCTTATTCATATAATAGAAATTATCTTTGCATTGTCCTTAGAAAAAGCAAAAGAAGAAAACTAAAAAGCAAACATTTAGCATTGGTAATGGCGTAAGCAAATCAGGTATTGCAAATCATATTGCTGTCCATATTTTTGTCCTTTCTTGTATTCCTTGCGAAGCATTAGTAAAAGCTAGAACAGAACAAACTATAATAACACAAAACACATGCCTAAAATAAAAATAAAAAAAGCACAATTAAATTCAAAGTAGTTACAAACATATATTATAATAAAGCGTCATGACTATGTCATTTCAGTGTTTCTTTAAAGTACATATATGTAAAACTTATATGTATTGTATATATTATACATTGTATACTAATAATTTAAATTTGTGTGAAATATGGAATGAATACTTACAATATAATATTAACTAGAAATAATATTAATATAAATAATAGCAATACTCAATTATTATATCATATCCATATTATTATTCATATCTAAAAAGAAAAAATACAATACTGGTATAATAACCAATACACAAACCTGGTATAATGAGACAATCTACGTCGAGGACTGCAACTTTGACTTCTTGATGTAGTATATTTTTTATTCACTCCCGATTTATTTTCTAAAAATTAAACTTATTATTTTTCCAAATAACATTTTAATGTATATAAAATAATAACTTTTAAGAGAAACATAATTTTTATCGATTCACACAACAGCAATTTGTTTAAATTTTAAATAATAAACAAACCTAAGTTTTCATTATTTATAGCAACAACTGTACGATGTTCGACAATTTCTTCTGTCTTGACTGTTGCACTTTTTATTTCTTCTCTTTCAAATATAGGTTTGGATCCTTCTCCTATAGTTAAAAGATTTATTTATAAATACAAAATTTAAAGTACATATATATAAAAAAGCAAATAAGCAGTATTAGTAGCTATGACAGACCTCAGATATCTTGAGGATATGTAAATAAACTGGCTACCTCTGAACGATTGTAAGCTAGGGCACTTCATGACAGAAGTATGAGATGAACTAAATACGATAAGATGCAGAAATATAATTATCTCTCATATTACTTTATATCTTTGATTTTATATCAATATTACATATTAATAATGTAAAAAAGATATATTTATTATTAAAAATACAAATTACTTCAACTGATTACCAATTTAAATATAATAAAACTTCCGTTTTTGTAAATAAGTCAATCTTCAATTATAAAGCTAAACATACAATTAAAAATATATGACTTACAATTTTCTTCAGTGCCAGAAACCATAAAATAATTTTATATTTATAATTAATATATATACACGTATAATTATAAGAAAAATAAAATGAAAATACAAAACAATACTTTATTCTATTTGTATAAATTCATAATTTTTATTTCATTTTTATTTAATTGATAATATTTATTTTATATGAAAAATACAAACTTCATTTCTTTCATTAGATTTATCGTATCTTTTTTTAATAATAATTGCTAAAAATTTATGATTTCTTTTAGATTTTATGAATTTTTAAGATCTTAATCTTTATCTATAAAAATTTTAGTTAAAAAATAACTGGTTCTCTTCTAGGAAAATTTTGTAAATTAAACTACTTTTGATCAATTAAATTATAATCCTATTATAAAATCTTCCGTGATGTTTTGTATCTTCCAGATGACTAAAAAATCTTCCACTGTTGACACATAACTTCATAGTTTGGCTATTTATTTTTCTTAATGTATTTGATGATAAAAAATTAATTATATCATAATTATTATATTACATCAAATTGAAAAATTTCCATTTAAAAATATTTTAAATAATTACTTCTCAACAATAATTACTTAGCTGCTTTTATAATATTCTCTTGTTATATTGCTTGTAGTCTTATATGTAAGAAATTAAAAACCAATAAATTCAAATAAATTAAGTAAAAATTTTGGTTTGTTATAAAATTTTTAAATATAACATTTAAATTATCTACTGTTAAATTTAATTTTATTTCTTCCGTTGTAGAATCATAGGCTTCGTAGTTCAATAAATAATATTCCTTCTTCTATTGTTGAATTTACACTTAATATTTAACATATCACCATGGAAATTAAAACTTTATAATTAAGCTTTTGCATTTTTAAACATGCAAACATTCTAAAAGCAAAGCACACAGAGAATGCACAAAATGAAACAGAAATTTAAAACAATTTTCTAAGCATATTCTGTACATCAATATTATTTAATATTCCAAAAGTATAATATTTTTGTGCAAACTCGATAGCCAAAGGAAAAAAAAAGAAAAAGAAAATGTAAAGCAGCAACAGAAAATAAAGCACTCTTAAGACATTCAAGATAAAAATCATTGTGCTTACGTATTGCACATTATTGTTCAATATCCATATCCAACGTTGTATTCCATATTTTCTTCATCCTTGGTGAATCAAGAACGCATTATTAATTTTACAGGTGCATAAATTGTTGAATGTTATAGGAGATAATATGATAATAAATCTATCTTCATAACTGTAGAATTAATTTATCATCTTTCTTCAGATGTTGCTTAGTAAAAGTGAACATTTTATTATTATCTAGACTTCAATTATAATTTCATTTTAGTCTGATGGTTGAGTTTTACTGTACTACATCCAAAAAAATGCAATATATGATTAACTTTACATTGCAAAACATATAATATACTGGAACTCGAACTTATAAATTATAATTTTTGGAAGCTCTCAAAAGGAATCATCTTCCTAGTTGAGTTTTACACACTCCTTCAGTATTTCTTCATTGAATGACTAATAGTGACTGAAATTGTCAAGTGATTATAAAAAAAAACAACATTTTACCCTCTCTTCTCATGACCTGGACATCTTCAGGATTGACAATAGCTCGTTGAAGTTCATCAGTTGTTGCTTTGCCTGGCACATTTCTGTGAATATCTACTTTGATACTTCGTAATTCCACAATACTAACTTGTGTGCCTTCTGGTCCCTTAAATAAAGGTGTTGTACCATCTGATGGTTCTAATCTAGTGCAAAATAATGTTTTATTTTCTATAATTTAATATATAATTTCAATTCACTGAATTTCAATCTTCTTTATTAATTAAAAACTAAATTATATTGTACAATATAATTTGTACTTAAAATATCTAGTTGCTATACAATTTGCACACTTAACAATTATAATTGATATAGTTACTGTGCAATTTATACATTTTACACATGATATAAAACTATTAAACATTTGTTTTTAAGATGTCTTGTATAATTTATACTTACTTTTTAGATAATATGGCTGTTTTAGATGTACTTGATGTCGTAGTTTTATGTCGAATTTCCGGAGATTTGCTTTTACTTTTACTACGACTGTGATGTGAGAATCTTCCTTTTGGTGGTGGTAAACCTTTTTCACGAGCACGACGTATTTCATACTCTAAAATCATCTTCGCCTTCAATTTTTCATGTTCCCGTAGCTTTTCTTGCTCTATCATCCATTCGCGCCTACGCCGTAATCTTTCTTCTTCCGTTTTTGAACGTAGACCAGTTTCAAAATCTCCACTGCGTGATGTTCTCGATCTTTCATCTCGATGCGAATGACTTGACACGATTCGTTTCATTTTCCAAAGAAGAAAAACTTCATATGCATGAAGATTAATCTGCAACCCTTTTTGAGGTTAGAAATGCAGAATTAATGTGTACGTTACATCAAAATAATAAACAAAAAGAAGACATGCAGTTATTAACACGTTTACTATTCAGGCCGTGAGCGTTGCGCTATAATTTGCGGTAAATAAATACGAATTCTTAAACTAGATTAGTATTATTTCACAATATTTTGTTAATTAAATTGATTATAAGAGTGCATCAAAAAACATGGTATCAACACTGCACATCACGTATGACATAATATGACGGTGCATTATTTATGAAGCGCAATGCAAAAGATAGTAAACATGTTATGTCAGATGCCGTATCATATTTGACCTGGATTTTTTAAAATTTATTAATTAATTAATAATTAATTATTTATTAATAGCTAAATTGAGAACAATATATATTCCAAAAAAATATACAGCTTTTCTTTTCTTTTTTATAAACGTATATAATTTGTTTACCAACTGAATCTAATAACTATTACCTGATTTTTACTCACATTGGCAATTTATATATAATGTTTATTGTATATACTACATATGTAATATATATGTATATGTCATAAGTACACACTATATGTTACACTATATTACACACAATGTAAGATGGTTTATTCTATGATCATCATATAATATGAGTCAAAACTGATGCAGCTTTGGTAAATGATAATTAAGATAATAAAAATAAGTCAGATAAAATTATAAAGACTGTACACTGTATTAAACATCAGGAAATAAATCATACTAGTACATAATAACTCATGAATTGTTAAAATGTGTATCTATTAAATTATAACATATCCATATAATATTTCAATAATCTATATACACATTAATTTATCACAATATCTCATATTCAATAACAATATTTTTTAACATGCGTCAATAATATTTTAATTTATTGTAACATATTCATATCACATATATTACCAATATTTTGTGTAATATCCATATTATTTTCCAAAAAAATTCTGTCATATCCAATAACACTAACTTGTAATATATCCATATTAAGTTTTGCCAATACATTATACGATACTGATATTATACATATTAGTACATAGCAATATTCCATAAAATATCCATACTAACTTTAAGCAATACTCTGACTTATATCTAATAACACTATTCTGTATAATATTCCAATTACATTTTGGCAATACCTTATAAAACTGATATTATATTAGCAATATTTCATAAAATATCCATATTAACTTTAAACAATACTCTGAGTTATATCTAATAACACTACTCTGTATAATATTCCAAATTATATTTTGGCAATACATTATAAGACTGATATTATACAATAGCAATACTCCATAAATTATCCATATTAACTTTGGGCAATACTCCATAAAATATCCATATTAACTTTGGGCAATACTCTGAGTTATATCTAATAACACTACTCTGTATAATATTCCAATTATATTTTGGCAATACATTACAAGACTGATATTATAAAATAGTAACACTCCATAAAATATCCATATTAACCTTTGACAATACTCTGAGTTATATTTAATAACACTACTCTCTATAATATTCCAATTATATTTTGGCAATACATTATAAGACTGATATTATACAATTGCAATACTCCATAAAATATCCATATTAACCTTTGACAATACTCTGAGTTATATTTAATAACACTACTTTCTATAATATTCCAATTATATTTTGGCAATACATTATAAGACTGATAGTATACGTTAGCAATACTCCATAAAATATCCATACTAACTTTGGGCAATACTCTGAGTTATATCTAATAACACTACTCTCTATAACATTCCAATTATATTTTGGCAATATCTTATAAAACTGATATTATATTAGCAATATTCCATAAATTATCCATATTAACTTTGGGCAATACTCCATAAAATATCCATATTAATTTTGGGCAATACTCCATAAAATATCCATATTAATTTTGGGCAATACTCCATAAAATATCCATATTAATTTTGGACAATACTCTGATTTATATTTAATAACACTACTCCTTATAATATTCCAATTATATTTTGGCAATACCTTATAAAACTGATATTATATTAGCAATATTCCATAAAATATCCATATTAACTTTGGACAATACTCTGAGTTATATCTAATAACACTACTCTGTATAATATTCCAATTATATTTTGGCAATACATTATAAGACTCATATTACACAATAGCAATACTCCATAAAATATCCATATTAACCTTTGACAATACTCTGATTTATATTTAATAACACTACTCTCTATAATATTCCAATTATATTTTGGCAATACATTATAAGACTGATATTATACGATAGCAATACTCCATAAAATATCCATATTAACTTTGGACAATACTCTGAGTTATATTTAATAACACTACTCTCTATAATATTCCAATTATATTTTGGCAATACATTATAAAACTGATATTATACAATAGCAATACTCCATAAATTATCCATATTAACTTTGGGCAATACTCCATAAAATATCCATATTAATTTTGGGCAATACTCCATAAAATATCCATATTAATTTTGGGCAATACTCTGATTTATATTTAATAACACTACTCTCTATAATATTCCAATTATATTTTGGCAATACATTATAAGACTCATTTTACACGATAACAATACTCCATCAAATATCCATATTAACCTCTGACAATACTCTGATTTATATTTAATAACACTACTCTCTATAATATTCCAATTATATTTTGACAATACATTATAAGACTGATATTATACGATAGCAATACTCCATAAAATATCCATATTAAGTTTTGTCAATATTGATACTAATTTGAGCAATATCCTTTTTCATATTATTTTGTAACTTATCCATATCCATATTATTTTTTGGCAATACTTTGTAAGATATTGACATCATTCTGCTTCATATCTAAATAACATAATTTATAACCTATCTATATCGCTTATAACTATATTTTCAGCAATACCCTACAGCAATACTCATATGACTTTTACCAGCATTTTATGTTATACTTGAAATATTTTGTAATATGTACTACAGAAAAATAGTATTTTTGAAATTTTAATCCTAATCTATTCTGATAAAATGTAAGATTATACTTTCAAATTAATAATAAAATTTCATTTCTTTCTATACCAAAAATCTTTGTTAATATTAAATTACATTTTTTCTATTACAAAATTTATTTGTTTAGTAAACATTTATATATACATTAATATTCACTTTGATATTACTGTTACGGTTATGTACTAATATGTGTATTTTACGATTAATAAGTGATTATTTATTAAAAGATTAATATTGTTAACAAATACCTTCTCAATAGCTGAAGTATTTATAGAAGAATTATATCTTCACGTCTAATCTGTAGATATACCATTACTCAATGCCGTGAATTCTTCTTCGTTACCTAAACCAGTGCGACGCCATTCGATGCTGAAATTCAAATAAAAGTTCACAATGGTTACAGCACCATCTATAATTTTCGTGCATTCAAGAGTTATTATTTTATTGAAACAATTTAAAAAATCGATAATATTAATTCTATTTACGAATTAGTCTCCTTAAGCAATGAAATGTGTATAATTGTCATATTAGAATTAGTATTAAATTAGAGTAAATTTTGAATGAAAACGGTGAAAGGGTAAACGAGACGCCATGGTGTTTCTTTAGTTTCAGTGCTAAAGCTGGGTGTCATGGCCATGGTTGGACAAAGTGTACGAGTATTGTATATTTAAATTGTATTGGAAAAATTTCCTCAAACATATCAGACAAGCATGCTGATAAAAGGGTGGCGTATGATTCTTATCCATTTTCTTATCGCCTGGGAAACGGATTAGTTCACTTCCAAAAATCAAGTGGTACGTACGCTGTCAAGTGAATATCCAACAAAAAGGAAATCAAGTGGGAAAAGGACGAAGAAAAACGCCGTGCAGCTTTACGGCGCGAAAGGAACGGAAACAGAGGTTAGCTTATTGAACACAACTACCCTAGTCAGTTAAGATGGTAGTCATTATAGTTACAGCGATGGTAGAAGTGATGTCATTGATTCCAATTTAGTTAAAACGTTCAACGAAGAGATAAAGGGGAAAGCAATCTTTATAATTAACAGAGAGTCTGCGAACTTCCATATAGTTATTTCCATCGTGTTTTTATTCAATATCGTTTGGACGTGCGTGTTGAACCATTTACCAATGATGGGACAATAGACCGTATATATACGTATATACGTTTATCTTCCTCTCAATAGGTATTTTCCTCTTTGTTAGTTTCTCTGTCCTTCTCTCTTCGGTTGTTAGATCTTCCCTTCCTCTTTGTTTATTCATCTGCATTGGAGTACCTTCACTTTATTACGAATGAATCTCCCGAAGAATACGATTGCGTGTCAAAGGAAATACCAGTCGATCGTTATTCGATCGAAAATTGTTGTGTTATTCCATTGGGATTAATAATTGGTCCGGCTAATTGGAAGTACGATATATTCAAGAAACATGCAAAATTTGTAAATCCGTGTCGTGCGAATTTTGTAAAGGTAAGCAAACGAGGGATTATTGTGAATGATTGGTTGCGAATATTTAAAAAATTAATTGCATTGAGCGAGATATGCATATAAGCAATGTATTAATTGTAGTGATTTGTCCTCATCGTGTCACGGAAACGTCATTGCCAAAAATCTTTATCAGTTAAAATTTGCTCATTGCGAGTCGTATGCCGTAAATTTTTTTATCGATCGAAAATAGGTCATCGAAATAAAGTGGGGAAGTCCACAGTTACATTCCTCGCGTTAATGAATCGAAGTATAATGACCTCCGAAAGACAAATATGCTCCATCTCAATAAAATTTCACGATGTTAATTGTCATAAAGTATTATGTACCTGTTTGATATTTTGCGTCAGTTGTGATATTTAAAATACGGTTTTTATATTTAAAATACAGTTTCTTGGAGTTATGTTATAATCTATTCAATTGATCTCTTGTAATCAGTCTGTTATCGCTGAAAAAATATATTATAATCATATTCTTAAAACAATCTAAATTTAACGTTTTATATATGTATGAATTAATATATGTTAAAAGGAAGCAGAGGCAGAAATAGTTACATAAGTATATTTTTAACAGGGTTGCGATAATGTCTAAAAAGACTAATTGCAACAAAATGTTAGTCCATCAATTATCATCTGTATTACCTGATGATAGGCCAATCACAGCCATAAATATTGTTGAAGATATAGATAAGTGTCCGCCAAATTTTACAGTAGTAAGTAATCTTGTGAGGTAATTTTTACAAATCACTTAATAATTATTTATATTGCTATGTTTCAATTGCATAAATATGCATTGTTTTTAAGTATTATTTTATTATCAGGTGTCAAGAACATACGATCAAGATACTGATGCAGATCTGTGGAGAGAAAGTGGTCTTTTTATTAAAAAGAAAGGCAGATACATATGTTTTTCAAAGACTGAAGGGTTACCTCAGTGTGTGGTAGAAGATATAGTAGTCATTAATGAACGAGATACTCCTCCAGAAGGATATAGCATAATTTCTTATACTGTAGATTCAAGTGAGCATACGTAAGACTGATCAGTGTATTATTTGCCAAAAAAGTATTTTCGTTTAGTACATTGCTATAATGAATTTTAGTGCAGAAGGCATGGAGGAAGAAACAGGTGTGCTATAAAATTAGAAATAAGGAACTATGCTCGAAAGCAGTTACTGATATTATCATATGTAGTAGAGTTGTACATAAGATCTATTCATCTAAAACAGCACCAACTGGATTTATTGCTGCTGGGTATGTTTATAAAATTATAAATTTATGAAAGCTTCATAAAAATCAATTATTTTTTGTCTTCCTATTTCTTTCAGTATTATTAATGGCGTTTGTGTTTGCTACAAAACTGTGGATATTGTAAATGGGAATTCAAATTCACAATCGTATGTTAATATAGAGTAAGAGTTCATTCATATTTTAAAAGGAACTAAGATATATTTACATCAACTGTTATATGTAACATTTCGTTTGTAGTTTACTTCAAAGCGCTTCTCCAAATCCATCGAATGGAACGCCCCATAGAATACCTCCTGAGAGACCACCAAAACCAAAGTTTTCACCAAAACCAGCAAATGGGGTTTATCCACAAATTAGTGGAAGTGGGGGAAAGGACACAGATGAATCTAATGATAGAGATTATGAAATTCTGAGCCCTAGTGCAAGAATTAGACCCACAAGACCTGCTCCGCAACCGCCTACATCAACAGTTGTTGGATCTACATCAATTTATGGTACACTGCCAGGGTCTTCTGATTTGGATGGAGTTCCATTTGTTCTTAATCCACGTCTTAGTGTTCATTCTGATTCTTCTATTGTAAGTAAACTTTTACAAAAAATTATTTTCCATGTATCGTTTTATGTGTTTTTAATAATTATTCTGTATTAATAATAAATGTTCTGTATTATTTAATAATTCCGTATTGTTTGTAGAATAAGCTTCCTGTGATTAAAGTTTGGACTCAGAAAGACTTGGATAAGGAGGTAAGATTAATATTTATTCGAAATATATAATGCACTAGTGCGTTTAATATTTTTATTCTTTATTTATTCTTCTTGTAGTTCTTTTACGATTTTCGTGCGGAGAGAGAAACTTGAAGAAACCACTGTGCCAAACTAATTGTGTGATTCTTCACACAATTTTTCAGCTATGTCTATACATTTGTATTGATAATATAGCACTAGCCAAGTGTAATAGAGTGCCTGAACGAGTGATTCATACTAACCCACGAAAATGGAATCTTTTCAAAACATTTATTGATGAAATGTTCAAATTTAAATATTGTCCATTTTCTGAAGTACTTTTTTCTTCCGTGTCCTATTTAGATTTTGATACCAGTGACAGTTAGCATTGTATTTTTATAGAGTTGCGTTGTATTTTTATAGATAGTAGAAGTTATATAGATATATATTATATATAATTGTATGATATGTTCTAGATGTTTATAAATCGCCACAAAATACTTAATATTATACTGGTGTATTCCTATTTCTTAATCAAACGCAAGGAATCTTTCAATAAAGTCATCTTTAATTTTATTTCCAACAAAAAAAAAACAAGTACATTTTTATTTTTATCCTTCAATTGATTTTTGTCAATATCATACAATGCCTTTAATACTTTTATAGAATACGTATATTTTGCTTTTATAGCATTTAATCGAATCCGTAATTTGAATAGGTAATCCGTAATTACATGCAGTAAATTCTACAAAGTTTGAGTAATTAATTAATTAATTGGGATACTCTTTAAATTTAGTATTTAAAATTTATAAGTTTTATACGCGTGAACGTAATTACGGATTAATGTAAAATCACAATAATTTAACATTTTCAGTTTTTCTTGAACGACTTTCGATAGAGAATAACAGAACATAAAGATTCTCGCAATAAAAAAATTAATTTTTGCAATAAACTGCAAATTTACTCGTGGCACTCCATAGCCAAAAGTCTATATTAACGTATGTACATTTACGTTACAAATCACTGTCAATTGTTCAATTTATCGATTTTATTAGTAACGCTATAAATAGGTAAGAAACATTTTATCAAAATATACAACACGTTCAAGCATTCTTTAAATTGAAGCTGCTATAAATAAATTAATTTTTACGTTTCTTTAGTAATAAAAATCTGACAAAAGCATCGTATTAAAAAGAAAACATTAATAATAATTTACAGGATTTACTTTATACTTTACACTCAGGGAATCATGTTCGTAGCACGGTTTGAATTTTCACTAATTCGTATCTAGTTACTAATTCTCCCCTGCTCGTTAATTCACGTTCCTTCGGCAGACGTTTCTTGTCGAAACAGACCTTTTGGAAAAACTTGAGCCAGTCGTCAAACAAACGGACCTGTCCAATGTCTGATATGAGTAGTATTGTTAGTGGTGGAGACACCGTGTTTCTCCATAACCGCTGTCGCTTTGATCTTATTCTTATACTTGACGTCTTTCGGTTTTAACATGCTCTTATGGTTGCTCAGCAATCTTGAGGGTGTTAGTATGGATTTATTACTAAGACCTGTCGCTTCTAAAAAGTGATCATAGCCGCTGCTCGAATTGCTCGCAGCAAGAGGAACATTATTATTGTCTTTGGTTGCGGCAGTTTTCTCGTTCTGACCAACCGTCGCCCCAAGATTGCCGAGCCTCTCCGATCCATCACCCTCCGGTCTGTCCGGATCATCCGACAAGTCACACTCGTCTAAATTGAACTCCTCGAAATTTTGTCTGATGTCGAACTCCTGATCGAATTCCGAATGAATGTGTTTCTCTTTCGGCTTTGTGCGTTCCTTCGTTTGATCCTCCGGCTCGCCGCCAATTTTGAATTCCTCGAAATGGCGAACGATGTTGGTGACTCTGGGAATTTTTCGCGTTTGTTCCCCGCTAGTTTCGTGGCTCTGTCGTGCCTGAAAGGAGGACCGTACGTTATTGAACCTGTTCTTCCAAAAGTTCCCCTCTTCGTTGTTCCCTGTAACTTTGTTGATCGCGTCGTCGAAGTTCAAGCTTCTCGCAGACGACACAACGTTAATCCCCGCGGATTTCAATGGGGATGATATGAAGCCGAATATTTTCTTGCCGTGCTCGGACGAGTTCGATTCGAAGAGTTGCTGCTTCTTTCGCGTTTCGTCAATCAGAAACGAGGGGCTGGGGATTTTCTTCAAGATTAACGTGTTGTTCTTGAACTGCGGTTTAGGAGGTAACATAGGGGGTGTTTTAGGTGATGGAGATATGATCTCCGGAAGCGACTCGATGTCCTCGTAGTCTAAATTCTTCGCAATAGTCAGGCCTTTCGTAGACATCTGCAAGCAGGTTTTTTCCTCAATTCGTTCCAATTTCAAAGGTGGATTCGACGCGTTTATAGACGTCTTTGCTTTCTGCATCGCTTGCGAGGAGGGGAATGTTGCGTGCCTCGTTGTTTCTACCTCGACCTTTGGCTCTATAATGACGATTGGAATGGCCTTCGATTCTTCCGATTCTTCCTCAAGGCTCGACTCGTGGTTCGCGATCGTGGTTGTAACGTTTGACGTTGAAACGCTTTCGCCAAGACTCATGCCAAACTCATCCTCCGTAGCAGTAGGTTCGAAACCGTTGACAGGAACGTCAGCGGTGAATTCGTTGCTGCCTGATTCTTTCTCTATAATTCCCTCGTCCGAATTCTTCCTCTCCATTTCGGATCCTACGGACTCGATATCGGACAATTTGGCTGGCTGAAATCGAACGATCCTTCCTCGATGCTTAAATCGTCTAGGTATGGAAAGAATGCTCTCTTCTTCCTCCATGTCTCGTAAAAGTATTTGATTAACGCACTCCAAAACGGAATTATGATTGCTATTTGGTCGATACGTGCTGTGCCTAAAGACATCGTCGTTGACTTTGTCCTCGTCGGGGTCGCTGTACCAGTTCCCGCTGGTTTCCTCCACGTTGTGATCTTCGATTTCTATTTTTAAGCATCTGCGCAAATCAAACATTAAATTTACAATTTAAATATATATGTAAATACGAGAAAAGCGTGTTTAGACGAATGTACGTATTATCTCTAACAATAGAAAATTATCCGAATTGTACACGTCGAGACGAAATTTTAAATTGTCGACTAAATTCTTGTTGAATGGAATTCACTTGTTAGCGCGTGAAGAACTCTCCCCGTCAGATCAATTCGCGTTAACAAATTTATGTTACACAAATACTCACACCCTATTTAAAAAATATCAATACTTACACGCTATTGTTATTATTGCTCCCGGCATTGCTACCGTTATTATTATTACTATAATCCTCGTTCATTTTCGGCACTTCCGCGATCACAGTCCCCGCGTGTTCCGAGTTTCTTGAATTCGTCTCGTTGCAAGCGTTCACGTAAATCGGCTCCTGCTCCTTCTCCTCGTCCTCTGACACAAAATTACAGTCCATCCCGTCGTCTTTACTCTCCGTTCTCGCGATATTCGTCGGCTCGATCACGTCCTTTGCAGTCTTCTGCGTCCTCGATCTGCCGATTCCTAACTTCTTCTTCGACGATTTAGAACCGTTCTCCATGATCAGCGTCTCCTCGTCCTCGTCCTCGTCCATGTCGTCGTTGTCGTCGTCGTAGATCATCGTGATCTCGTTCTCGCTGTCTGTGATCATCGTTGGCGTGCATCTGTTGGATTTGTTGAGCGTAGAGCCCGGTGAAACGTCGGTGCTTTCACCCTCGCAGAAACCCTCGGTGCTGAGCAACGAAGGGCTGCCCTCCGTGGTGGTCGTGATGATCGACACATCGGTGTTCTCGCTGCTGGTCAGGCTCGTTTTCGAGATATCGCTCCCGGCGAAGCTGTGGGTTTTCTTCACCCCCCTGTCCAAGTCGTCGAGCGCAACAGGTACCACCGACGAGTTCAGTTTCGTGATTATCTCGCACTTCAGATTCTGAATGTCTTTGCCGATCCCGCAGTCCTGCCTCGAACTCGCCTGAAACGAAGGTTATTTCAGTCGAGAATCTTTTGATTCTTTGAACTTGATCAAAATGATGCGTCGTCATTTGTCGGTAGATGTACAGGGTGGGAAGAAAAATTTGTTCGTGCAAGTTTGTTATCATAGATGAATTCTACATCTTTGAACTGATGTAAGGAACTTGTCGCAACATTGACCTTGACCTCTGGATTTCAAGGTCAAAATTTCTTTTTTTTTCTTGCATCGTGTTCTACTCATCACGAAGGTGAAACTTTTCCAACATAATAGTTCTCTTAAAAATTGTGAAAAAAAGTTTCTCAATCACTTAATACTACGAACGCGTCCTAATAGCGACTTTATGCTTCTGGGCATGTGGGTGTAATATTTATATGTCGAATAACGTTAACAGTTAGGTTTATTATTCAGACTCACATTGATGCTACAACTATAATAATGCTAGCGAAACTTAACCCAGAACTATAAAGTCGTTGTTAACACGCACACATCCATAATAATGTTAAATAATTAAGAAACTTTTTTCCCACTCTCCAAGAGAACTATTAGGTTCTTTGCAAAAGTCATCTACTTCGTGACAATATATACAATACAAAAAAAAAAAAAAATTTTGATCTTGAAATCCAAGGTTTCAGATTCTTGACATGTATTTCCATCAAATCGAACTTGTAGAATTCATCTGTGATAGCCGCGGACAAACTTTTCTTTCCACCCTGCACATATAAAAAAACAGACTGAAGTGAAGAATTTCTCTTTATAAACTTTCATCAGTCGAAAAATACCAATTCCAGTATGAAACGAAAATCTCTGAGAAATACGTTTGCTATCTAGGAAAATCGGACAATCTTGAACAATTTGCCTTTTTGTCGCGAGCCTCTCGATTAAACTCGAAACAATATCGAAACTCACGTCGGCATCGGACGTTTGTAGATCACTGTTCTCGATGTCGGTCGCCCCGTTGATCTTCATCGACGATTTACCAAGTCCCTGCTCGCGTTTGCACTTGATGTAGTTCTTGGTGTAACGCCTGAGCCTCGCGATCTCCAGCTGCTGGTTCCTGATCACGTTGTCCTTCTCGCAAAGCAGCTGCCTGATCGATTTCTGCTCCTGCTTCAGCCGTGCCTCCAGCACCAGCAGCGCGCGAAGTATCCGCGATAGCTGCTGATCTCGGAGGCTCCTCTCGGACTCATGGCCCGCCGTGCGATTGTCCAGCTCTTTCACCAGATCACGGCATCTCTTTGTGGCCGCCTTCAAGGCCTCCTGGGTACGAACCAGCTCCTGCTTGAGCGTCCGCACCTCGGTTTCCATCTGGAAAAGAATTTTGTTGGTCGTACGAAACTGGTTTTTTTTTTCTTCACACACACACACACCGGGAAAGGAAAATCTCAAAAGTTAGCTCCGGAGGGGGAACATTGGAATTCGTCCAGGTCACTATGTATGTCGGATCGGACTTGGAAGGACCGGAAGGACCTGACCTGCCAAGAGCTGGTAAGCCAAGCAGACAAAAAAAGAGACGTGAGAGAGGGAACCAGGTGAAGTGAAAAGGGGGATTATTCATTTGTTCGAGATTTAACTTCGGGTCTATTTTGCTTCGACGTTCCTTCGACGGGCTAACGGTTCCTAAAAAAAAGTTCTCCATTCAGAAATAAATGTGTTACAAGTGTTACAAACATTGTTATATGGATAAGACAGATAGAAGTAATTAATGCAAACGAGAAGTAATAATTAGTTGAATATTTTCAACGTTCCGGATTAATTCCTTTCAATCAACGACGCTCTTGCTAATAGTTCGGTTAATGTTAATAGCAACAGTCGATAAATTCAAAATTCAAAATTATCTGACTTGATTTAGATAAGGAAAATTTATCTAAAATTTTAATTTTAATTTTAACATTAATATATATAAATATATATAATCTATTTAATATAATTTGATATATTTATATATATTAAATTATATATATTAATATATACAATTTAATATAATTTTATATATATATATTTAATTTTAACATTAATAACAACAAAAATATCAATTTTTAGATTTTTTCATAAAGAGAAAAGATTGGTTTGCGTTTTAACACATTTATAATCGCAGCGCAGCCAACTGCAATCGAAGGACTAAGTAACTTTCCCTAAGAAAAAAAAAAAAAAAAAAAAAATGCACAGGGCAAAATTAGACAATAATGTTCACCAAGTTCACTTTGCACGAGCTTCGCCTTTGCGACTGGAAAATTAATTCTTTATCTTATCGCGAATCAGCTCGCTATTACACCGCTAATCGGGGGAAAAGAAAGAAAATAAAAGTTCTCGCGATGAATAATTTAACCGGAATGTCCGTGCTGCAGTCGTATCGATAATGTAAGGAGCGTGCAATTAAATCGCGAGAGATGCTAATCGCGCGGAGAACGAGAACGCGTCTTTTCAATTAAGGTGTATTTCAAGGTAACGGAACCGTGCCAAGGAAAAACGGTGCGGTTTCGAGACTCCACTTTCTGACGTTACACACGAACGTTTATGTTTAATGACACCGGGACATCGTACGAAGCGGTTATTGATTCCGATTTTTTTGTGCAAGTTATATATCGTTACTAGCATACATCGATCTCGATATGCCAACAGTGAAAGGTAAGAGGGCGACGTCAACGTTGTTTTATTATACACACGACACTTTCGCTTTTATTAGCTGGTTCTCATACAGCTAAAACCTGGAAAAATTGGAACGTGCAAGAATTTTCCTACGTCAATAATAGTAATGGTTAATCTCCTGCCTTATGGTCATTTTATTTGTCTTAATGTGATTTTTAATTTGTCTTTTAATTTGTCTTAATTGGAGTTAAAAAAAATTTAATCTGAAGAATTGGCATTAAAGTTAAGATTTTGAATCGAGTTTTCTAACAAGCGTGTAACTCGAGAAAGATACGTGAAAAGTTTACAAAGGCGGCGAATCTAACCGAGTAGCCGAATATCGATCAAACACGTTTCAGTTCTGTATTTAACTGAGAAGTCTCGCCGGGAGTAAGCTTTCGGACGAGCAACAAAGCTGAAATTATCTTCACTCCGTCAAATACTACCCCGATGCGCGTACAACATCAGAAACTTTAGCAGTTAGTTTGCATCGGTAGCGTTCAATTCGCTTCAGAAGTTCCCGAAATCGATTTAGCCTTTAAACTTCATTGTGTTTGTGTTGCATCAAGCGACTACCGTTAGAACGAATGATATTGTTTAAACGTGTCCTCAAAGAGGATTGCTTTAAAAAATTTGTTTCAAAGATACGTACTTATACTCTAATTGCGTTAGATTTATGAATTTATAATAAATTTTTGAATTTTCCTACGAAAGTTTCTGACACAACAACATTCTTCTTTCCTCAGGAGAATGCCACTATTATTCTGCGCTCCAGGATAAGCACGCTCAAAGATCCCGAACACGTGCTAGTTAAAGATGCTAATAACTGATTCAACTAGAACTACCGACGATTAAAGCATAAAATTTCCATCAGAGAGAAATTGAAATCAAAAAAACAAAAAATAGAGAAACTTTGCAGACTGTACGAGCGTTTGTTTGCGTATTTTACGAAAAATTATTACGAAAGTGAAATGTCTGATAAAAATTATAAAATGGTGACTGCCTGTAGGGGAAGAGCCTCGTCTCTCGCGCAAAACGTAACAGGCAAACGTAATACGTATAAACGAAGGGAGAAATGGCGGCGTTTTGCGTTCAAGTAGAACTCGGTGGTCTTACTCGGTAGGAAAAGATTGGTGGTCGGTAACGCAATAAGCCTCGGCAGCTTGGACGGTGAATTTATGGTGGCAGAAGATCGCAGGAAGCCGCAAATTTTCACGGCTCCGCAAGCTGTAATTATACAGTGGCCGCCGCGAGGAACGCATCTACGCTCCGGCCATTTTCTTCGTCTCATCATCCGGGAGGGAGGGGAATAAACTCGGTGGCCCCCGATTTTTCGAAGCGTCTTTCGCAATCGACACGGCCTTTAATCTATCAGCTGCGCTGCGACACGGCGCGCATCGAGTTTTTTCCACGAGGACACTCTGTTTTGTTACGTTCTGCATGACGCGGCTGCCAACTTCCGGTGTCACTGCGCCAGCCGCTGGTAATTGCTTTAAAGAATCCGTGTGTTTGATTACTGCGATGCTCGCGGCAGAACCAGCCAAGTATAATAGAACGTTTCGCAGGAGAAACTTCTGGGTTCTAATTGTAAATATACAGAGCGGGCGCCGCAGGTTTCGTTTAAATCTTCACGCCTGTGCGTTGACCGTTTGCGTAAGAATTACGTGAAACTTACGTGATAATTGCTATTCGAATTCGATCGACTTGAATGGAACATCCTGTACATTTTGACTGTACTTGTTCTTTCGAAGATTACACAAAAATATTTATCGGTCAAATATTACAATGAAAAAAGAAAAAAGAAAAAAAGAAAAAAGAAACGAAAGTAGTTACCTCAGTTATGAAATAACTAACAATTGCTTGAGGTACCGACTGTTTTTTATATCCGTTTGTTCGATTATGTAATTCGTAAGTATAGCACCGTGTAGTCCATCTAAATGCTCCAGGTTACGACACAGCTATTTAAGACCAAGGTATGCAAATTCCGGTTCCGGTACACGTGACATCGACACACGTCAGACACCTCGAACTCGAATTTTTCCCCAACTTAATAAATAAATTCGTGACGTCATGGGAAATGCCCCCAGTGACCACAAGAATGTATACTATAGTATTTAGAAAGCGCGGACTAATGAAGTGTCCGTGTTCTGAATACCGATAGTTATAAGTATCTAAACGTAATCATTCGCATAGGTAATCGGACGGACAAACAGACGATTCAATTGCACGAATCGACATTTTAACAGTTAGTGCAAAATGAATTGCTAATGGACTATCGCTTCTTAATAATCTTTAAGAAGAGATGTTATGTTAATGGCAATGAATTAACAAAGTAAATTGCTCAAGCTTGTTTGAATTGTTATAATTTGATTCGAATATTCATCTCTACATACATAATATATTTATAATATTTATATATTAATAAGTCTTTGCAAGAAAAGAAACGTAAAGCAATAAATTACTCAAGCTTATTCGAATTGTTTGTAATTTTACTTTATATTTGATGATTCAAATATTTCTCATTTATATAATATATAATATTTATGTATTAATGAATCTTTACAAGAGAAAAAACGTATAAGAATGAATTGATAAATTGATAAAGCTCAAGCTTGTTTTTTCAATTATTTCAATTTTGCTTTATATTTAACGATTCAAATATTCATCCACGTGTAATACATATATATTAATAAATCTTTACAAGAGAAGAAACGCACAAGGAATGAATTAACAAAGTAAGTTGCTCAAGGTTATTTGAATTGCTACAATTTTACTTTATATTTGACGATTCAAACACTGATCTCTCTCTCTATATAATATTTATCCATTAGTAAATCTTGACGCGAGAAGAAACCGTACAGGAATAAATTAATAAATTAGTAATGTTATTTGAATTATCACAATTTTGCTGATAAATGATAAATGATCGAGTATTTTCTTGAGCATTTATCAATTAGTATCGAAAGATGGATACGCGTCTACTGAAAATCTGACGCCCACGATTGCATCGGATTGGAGTTGCCAAAGTGGCTCACGAAGGTGACGAAAAAGTGTGCTGCGACTTTCTCCGTTCTTGAACAACGGCTTCTCGATCCATCGTGGTGCACGATAGGAGGTCAACGGATGAACTGGCCGCCACACAAGACGCGCCTCGTGTGCCAGTACAGTTACCCGGCTATTCAACAGATTCAGCATCCGTCGAATTCTTTTCGGGAAGCAAGTGCAAAGGTCGGCAAGTTCGATCTCAACTTAACCGCCACGTCTCTCCCCCGTCTCTTTCCTTTAATAACTGTATACCGCAAGTACACAGGGAGATTTTAGACGTTGGATCACGAAAAAGAATGCGCGAGGGATCACACGTTTGTTCTCGGGTGACGTCAACGTTGCATTCTCCTCTCCAATAACTCTGAAACAAACTTTCTCCGGTGTTACGGCGTAACGGGGCGAACAGAGAGATCCGAAATGCGCAATAATGTGCACGTAATCACATTTCTCCTAACCTCTCGCGCTTTTTTAACCTCTTACACGCTGGAATGACGTCGAGAATATTTGGCCCCAAAGTTGCAATATTTTCTCAGTTTTAAGTACATTGAAGTACAACCCAGGTAAAACAAATAATAAATTTATTACTTATTAGTAATTTCTGTCCAGTTGATGTACCGATGAATTCAAAAAGAAGACGAATTATCGTACACGGTTTGGTCACTCGTTATGGTCCGTGAACCAGTTACTAGCGCAAGAGGTTACTAGCACTTACAGTCGAAGAATCGAGAGTAAAGAATCGCGCGGTGGTTTCGCTTGAAATGACACGTTTCCGACGAAACGTTTGACTTTTAATTCGTGGCCGTGGCTTTTAATTTCCAGCAACGCGAAAGGATTAGAATTCTTGATTTCACAAGCCTTTACGGACGAGGATACGCACGTAGCAGTTTCTCGCGATTACGAGCGTAGAATTGTGTCATCGTTCAAACAACCTTCATCGATTGCATCACGCTATTTGATTATCACAAACCGTGTAATAATTGTCGTACGATGTTTTGCTATTCAAAGATAAAGACTATGGCTAATTTTGATAAATTTTATTGCTCGCACCTTTTAAGAGCGATATAGTAGTACTTCGACTTCGTATTAGGTTTCAATCGTTATTGCAACGTTATACAATACGCAGTGTCACAGTGTCTGACAATGAGCAAACGACGAATTCGATTTTACATAGATATTGCAACAAGACCTTCGGCGAGAACGTCTTTGAAGAACAACTGATTCATCGTCCGGTAGACGTAGCCAAGCCGTGTGTTGAAACAAGTCCACGACACACTTTACGCATCGTATCGTTGAAAAAATCGCGCTGTGTACCCGTTATAATCCGAATGTATGAAATTGCCGATCAAACGCATCCCTACTATTATCGTTGCAAGAGGCGCGTAATTCAATTTTCTTTTTTTCTTCTTTTTTTTTTTAATGAACAAACTGAGCGCACTTTGTACGTCTCGTACGGCGTACATTTTCGTACCGGCCACGCTGGGAAGATAAAAATCGAGCGTTCGACGAAGAGCAATGATTCTTAAGAAATCATCCGCCGTGTACGGTTTTCGTATTAAAAAAAAATATCCGCGTGATATTCTCGTTACGTGTAGGCGCCTACTGTTACCTTAAACTGCAGCCTCCGGGTGAGCACGGGTTCATCCAATATTGGCAAGAAAGTCCGAGCACGTGACCGGCATGACACACGTCTGAATTTTTCCGCAGAATCGCGCACGTAATCAGCCGAATTTCACCTGATCTCGATGTAACATTCTGTCACTGGTCCTCGAGGCTGTCGTGCGTCGCCTCCTCGAGGATGCCGGTTACGAGCGCCGCCGGGAACGGCCGACACCTGCCGAAGATCACCGAACCTTTCCGAACAGCTGCGCGAACGACCGAACGTTCTCGCGTACCTGACATATTGCACTTCGAATTCTGAAAGTATGTACGCGCAATTCAATCACGAATCATGAGAATAGTTCTCACTTTGTTTTCCTTCTTTCGGTTAGCCTCGCTAATATCGTGTATTCACGATCGATTGATTCACCGAACGAAAACACCAGCAGCCTGGCGAGAGCCGAACGCAGACGAGACGAACTTTGGATACAAACTGGTCAGTCGGCGAGTGGACAGTTAGGCCCAAGAGGGAGTGAAGAATGGTAGGGAGAGGGTTGAAGCAGACTCGGACTTGGAAAACAGTAATCTCCTCAAAGTCAAGAGATTAAACCAAATCAATGTAAATGGAAATAAACGTTGATTTACGTTTGACGTTTTAGAAAGTAACTGTGCGATTGGAATTAATTATCATTATTTAAAAGTTAGTAAGTAAGCAGTAACATGATTTTACGATCGATATCTAATGATCAGACTATATTTATTTACATAAACTTATGAATATGCAATGTAGATGACTAGTAACCATATATGCATTATAAAAGATTAGAGTTTTAAAACAAATTGTACAAAGGAGAAAAAGGAATACTATCGTCAGTAAAAAAAAAAAAAAAAAAAACAACAGTAAACATTAAACAAACAGTAAAATGACACGTATATTAGGAATAAGGAAGTAACCGTGCAATTGGAATTAAGAGTCTTCATGATTTCATAAAACTGCAATCTGTAATTGGAATTTGTTGTTACTGTATTGAGTAAGTAAGCAATAAAATGATTTTATAATCGATAGCCTGACACATAATCACATTATACTTATTTATATAAACTTATGAGTAGATAACTGTATGTGCTAGACAGTTTGGTAAAACTCTGAAGAACCACGAGTTCCAAGTGCAGCCCTGAGTCCAGAGTCAGACGGAGAGAAGGAAGAAAATAAGAAAAGCAGACAGAGAGAGAGAGAGAGAGAGAGAGAGAGTCCTGTTCCGCGTGCACGCGTATATCAATGTTTGTACGTACTTTTTCTGTGACTTGTTCGCGGTCCAATAAAAACAAGTAGGTCCGTTGATAGATCATAAATAATGTGGATATGGATGTGACACGTCCTTTTTCTCAGATAAATTGTGAAACTAACTTACGTCGTACATCTATCCACGTCATTGCAAGACAAAGTAAGAAACAGCTGACTCGAGTAGTCTTCCGAAGTGAGGCGCGTTGCAGCTGACTTTACAAAATTCCTAACAACTCGAGGCGAGGTTTATTATTTATTACTCAAAAGTATTAATTATGAAGAGACTTTAAGCAATTTTTAAACAACTCGCCATTTCACATTGGAGCGTTAATTATATCTTCAAGGACTCTAAATCTCGAACGAGAAGATTTTAAATCTCCAGACGAAAGAAGACATTTTGCCTACAATCTTCCGATTGTAAGTAAAAGTACAAAAGAACCACTCCAAATCTAAACGTAGACCCTTTAAAAAATTAATTATAAAAAGACTTGAAGCAATTTTCAAACAACTCGTCATTTCACATCGGAGTATTAATTATACCTCCAAGAAATCTGAATTTCGAACGAGAAGATCTTAAATCAAACAAAAAAAAGGACAGTTTGCAATCTTACAATAGTAAAAGAACAAATTCCAAGTCACACAGATCCTTTTGCATATAAAAAAAAAAAGAGTATCGCAAACTGGTTCATCAGTTTTAATCAAGCATCACGTGAACAGAACGAGTACCGTTCGCGGCAAAGTTTCTCCGTTCCCACAACGACACCAGATATCAGCATTGTCGGAATGTTATCGACACGAACGGTCGCTCTTGATCTTGTCTTGAACAAGATCGTTCTCCACTACTCCGGAACGTCGATTGTCCTAGAAAACGAGATTCTACTGGTCGGCGCTTGGTCCACGGTTGCGTAATTGCCTCTTTTACGACTTTGTCGTACCTTGCATACAGACCTTTTTGCAGAAGCCACCGCTTCACGATACCTTCAATTCGCGCTAGTTTTAATAGTCGAGCGGAAACGGGCAACCATCTACCGATCGTTTGCATGACATTCGACATTTTTCCCTCGTCTCGTGTGATTTACCAACGTGCAATTATCGGGAATAATTAATAATATGGATCTTGATAAGAACGTTTATATGATTCGTTTATGATACGATCACGGTCGCTGATCCTAGAATTTATACGAGGAACATTGTAACGGGAAGCTTTGGTACATTTCTAGTATATCATTAATTTTCTTCGTTCTCTTCTCTTTCACGTAACAACGAAGGTATAATTTAAGCAAACGTCATTTCGTGTTAGAAAAATATAACTTAAAGCGGGTGTTTAATGGTTCTGGTATGTCATTAAAATTCCTCGGTGATGTTAAAAAAATCTACAAGCGAATGAAAAGTTAATTGTTCCATTTGTATTGTCTGTTATCGCACTGAATCATTTCTTTTTTTACATTTGCAGAACTAATTTTGTTGCATTCGAAGTATGTTAAACGCAACAGTATCGCAAGTACCACACGAATACAAGGGCGCAAACTGTTATTTCTATGAACTATGACTTTTATCAAGTAAAATTTTTACTTTTATAATAAATTTTACTTTTATAAAATTAAGCGATACATTACAGACTATGACTTTTATCAAGATATTATTTTACTTTTATGAAATTAAGCGATATATTACTGAAATTTTTGCAGACTGTAATATATCGCTTAATTTTATAAAGGACTTCGGAAAAGAAAGAAAGAAACGGAAGATCAATTCAGGAAATGTTCTACACGATTTCGTTACTTTTTGTTGATTCGTCTGAAAGATTGGCAAACTTTTGTGAATTTTAAAGGAACAAAGGTATCAAGCAGTGTAAAGCATTCAACGATTGTCTCGTCCACGATCACACCTCTGTTGCAACGAATGGAAAAAGAAAAGAGTACGAAAGGAATGAACAGACGAAAAAAAAAGAAAAAGAAAACAGAAAAATAGATAAAAGGACGACCAACAGGAATATTCGCTTTAGGAGCAGCAAGTGAACTCAATCCTGCACGATAACGTCTCATCGATTTATTAACTCGGTTACCTTAGAAACTCGGTTCACTAGCCCTTGGTTAGGTCTGGGGAATACGGATAACCGTTATCACGATGCACGAATACAATCGATTCTTACCGTTTGGGTGTACTCCAGCCAGAGTTTCGAGTCGATCTTCTTCCTGCACGACATTTTTTCGACGATCCTCTCTTTTCATCCACTTCTATTATCTATTTCTTTGTATCATACGCCTCTTTTAACAGAGACGAGTCTACAGAATTTTTATTCCCTGTGGATCGTTTCGTGGATCGATCGGATCGTTTGTTATTGTGTCATAAAGTTTCGTTTAAAGAATAATGGTCTGCTCGAGTGACCAACTACTTGTCTCCTTTTCGCTGAGAAAGGGAGATGCTTTTAGATTGATTCATCAAATTCCTCCTCGTTGAGGTAACGTTCCTCGTGGATCTCCAGTTATTGCGATCATCTTTATTTACACGAACTGCTGGTTCGAATTATCGATAGCTGATATTGTTGAGCGAGTAGGAGGAACAAGAAAATGCGTTTCAGGCGAGAATTTTTTTTACAATTTTCGTGGGCGTTATTGATGTTCCAAAATCAGAGAGTCCTGTCACGTATATGTGCCTCTCTGAATTTTTTTACTTCTTTTTTATCTTTTCTATCTCCACTTTTGTCCTCCATTCCTCAGAAATGAAATGAACAACATTTCGTTATCGGCCTGGTTATCGTTCAAAATTTTAATATCGAGCTTAGCCTTTGAATGCACTCGTAACAGCTGGTTACACTATCAGCACGCATCGTGGCACACGTTTGTTCGTTAGTATCGTACATGTCACTCGATGCACAAGCTGGATATAATTTTGAACGCTCGAACACTCAAAGTCAAAGACGAAATAGAAAACAAACAAAGAAATATAAACGGAGAAAAAGTAGCAGCGAAAGTGAAGAGACGGAGATACGATCATGTTATAAAAGCGAGTTTGAGAGTATAACGATTACAATATCTGAGTAATTTTCATTGAGACTAGGTGTTCATTAGCCAGGATCAATTTGCTTCAAATTCGCTTGGTTTCGAGGAAGATCTGCCGTCGGTTATGTAAATCAGTCTTCCTTGGAATTGTTGCATCTCTTCGCCTTATCTTCCCCTTTTCTCTTTTTTTTTTCTACTCTGTCCAATGTTAAATAGCGAACGGTCATCGTCAAGAGTAGCTTCTACGCTAGAAATTGATCCAACGATCTAACGATGATCGAATCATCGCAAACACGCGTTTACTCGACGGAACAGAGTCCGCGTTCCGCGAGAAGAAACGTAGGACTAACCGTTCTCGTAAAGACTGCTCGTTTTCTGGGTGTAACATACAGGACGATGATAACAGCGACGATAATAACGAGCCGATCGTCGTAAAGATATGCGCGGATTACGTTCGAATTCTGGAAAAAACGCACTATCCAGAAGTCGCTGATATACTTATTTTTATATACGTTTTATATAATATATATATATATTATATTATTATATATATACGTTATATTATATTATATAATTTATAATTATTGATAATAAATTCAGGATACTAGATAAATCATTTTTGGACATAACAAAGAATAGATGCTGTTTATTAATTTTGAAAATATAATATACTATATTATATTATTTATAATTATTGATAATAGTTTTAGAATAGTAGATAAATCGAATTCTGGAAAAAGCGCACTATCCAGAATTGCTGATATACTTATTTTTATATACGTTATATATAAGTATATATATAATATTATTATATATATACGTTATATTATATTATATAATTTATAATTATTAATAATAAATTAAGAATACTAGATGAATCATTTTTGGATATAACAAAAAATATTTCGAGAACAGATGCTGTTTATTAATTTCGAAAATATCTTCATTCGCAACATATTCAAAATATTTCAAAGTTAAATTCTTAGAAGCTTTATTACAGATAGTAATAACAATATACTGCACAGTAATGATAAATAATAGCACCGAACTATGCAGAGATTCAATTTCGAAAGTTCAGTTTCAGAATGATCCGACAAACTTCTCACTAACCGCTTTAATGGAATATCAGTTAATAACCCGTGTAAATCGACTAATCGTTCAGTTTCCGGTTTTAGGGGAAAGCCACTGCTTATTGTCAGCCATTACGTCATCACGTGGCGAATCACGGTGTCACGCAGAGACTGGTTATCATTCAACGTTCTTATCGCGATGATACGTCTCGCAAGTCTTTCAAGAAATGTTACACCGATCGGTAAGAGTAAAATTCTGCACGTGTTTCTAATTTTTTACCACAGTTATCCACAACTAGTTATTTAGTATAGAAAAAAAAAAAAAAAAAAAAAAAAGAATGACTCATGATAATGTCTTTCCGTAATAATTTCAATATGAAAACACGTTCAAAGTAACAAGCTTGCACAATAAAAGCTTATCTTATTTACTGGCCTAGATTCGACTCACAAAATGCTGGCTCCACAGTCACACAAGACTTGACCTATTAATCGCTATCGTTGCTAGTCACTCACCGTGGCCACGTGAAATTACTTCACGAGTACGGCGTTAACACTGCGCAAGCAACGCGGTGGCCGTGTCATGCGGGCACATGTGCTCGTATTATATTTGCATAGGCCGAACAGAGCCGAGGAAAGACAGGTGTACGACAAAGGGATACCTTCTGTGCGGGTCTTTCCATACCTCCACGACCTTTTAAGCGATACGCCTTGACAAGCTGACTGCGTCAACTTCTCGCAATCGGACACGGCGGAGCGGTTCGCAACGCTGGCGACCATTTGGTATCCGGTTTCATCTTTTCCCACATTCCTTTTTTCGTTTCTCTCTCTCTCTCTCTCTCTCTCTCTCTCTCTCTCTCTCTCTCTCTCTCTCAGTCTTTTCTTTTTTTCTTAAACTTTGCCACGTCACTCGTGGATCGTTTTTTTTTTTTTTTTCACCTAATCGGGATTTTTCGAATCGTCGAACGACTCCTTCAGCTTTGAATTGATACGATTATTGGATGATGTTAACTGTTAATTTAATAATGATATCAATTACTAGTGTTAATAATACTAGTTATTAGTATTGATAATACTATACTAACTAATAATAAGTCGTAATTTTCTATCGTCGAACGATTTCTTCAGCTTTGAAAGAAATGCAAGGAAATTGATACAATTGGACGACATTAATAATGATATTAATCACTAGTAGTATTAACATTAATACTAACCACTAGCATTAATAATACTAACTAATAACAAATCGTAATTTTCTATTGTCGAATGATTTTTTTCAGCTTTGAAGAAAATGCGAAGAAACTGATACAATTGGACGATATAATAATTACTAATAATGATATTAATCACTAGTATTGATAATACTAACTAGTAGTATTAATAATAATACTAACCACGAGTTTAATTATTAATAATAATACTAGTATTAAAAAATTATTAACTTTGTTAATTATTATATAAAAAAAATTATTAATTTATATTAAAAATTATTAATTATTTAAATATATTAATTATATTAATTTATAATTATATAATTATTAATTTATAATTTAATTAATAATTTGTAATTATTAATTACTTAAATATATTAATTATAAAAATTATTAATTATTTAAATATATTAAATATATTAATTTATATTAATTATTATATAAAAAATAATAATACTAATCACTAGTATAATAATAAGTATAATAATAATACTAACTAATAATAAATTACTTATTTAATAAAAATATTAACTAACTTATTAAATAAAAAAATTACTAGTTTAATAATAATACCAATTACTAATAACAATAATACTATTCAATAATAATACAACAACATTAACACCAACAACTTTTCGGAAAAATGTTAATAACGTCAAGGCATTCCGTTAACACGTTGGCAAAAAATGGCAAACGTGACGCTCTGTCCAGTAACATCGCAATAAAGAAGAGTGATTAATCTCTCTCCGACGAGTAATTTCTCTCCATTTCATTTTAGCGAACGAAAGCTACCGGTACGCAGCTTCCGATCCCTTTGTCGCTACTTCGGAACAACACCACGTGACATATGGCCAACAACGGAATAAAGTGGAGAATCGATAACTTGGCGAGATAACAATTTGCGTCATAGTCGGGTGTCGCATTGTTCGATCGGTTTACACGATATTCGAAAATTTACGGTGCCGCACTCGCGCGACGACTTACGTACGATCTCTGCCAACAGTGGGAGCACCAATTCCCCGCTCTCTTATCCAACTACGGTTACGGATGGAATAGACATATTCTTAACAAAGCAGAGGTCACTTTTGCAATACTACACTGAAAGACTGAACGATATAAAAGCAAAAATAACATTTACAAACACGTGTTTTTTTTTTTTTTTTTTAATTTTTTCATTACTTTATTTGGAAATATAATTAATGGATTTTTTTTTTTCAGTATCATATGTGAAAAGCAACGTCCCTCAAATGACCAAATTATGAAAATGAACAAGAGTTATGACTTTTTCGGACCCTTCAGTTTTTCAGTCCATCTTGTATAAAGGACGTTGCACTTCGAAAGACAATGCACGTGGAACACGGCTTCTGCTAAATGAATAGAAAATTATATCGGCCCAATTAAAAAGTCCTCTAACTGTGATTCTCGATCGTTCAGTTAATGGAAGTTTCACCGATCATGAGATATTTGATAGATAACGATCGGCTATATATGGAGAACATTGCCATGCTTTCTTCATTATCAAGTCAAGAGTGTTGTTATCGTGTCTAACACTTAGCAAACAGAGTTTCGTTACAACGAAGACACGACTACCGCCAATGTTTTCTGTATCTTTGTACAGAGCGGGCCAAAAATTTTTTCCCACCGAAGTAAATAGAAATTAATTTAAAATCAATGAAATTAATTCTTCCTCACATTTTGATTATTGCCTTATTGAAAAGAGTAGATGAGAAGAAACTTCTGGGCTACTCTGTATTATATTTCCACGCGTTCTTGTTTCTCTTCACGATTTCTCATCCACGATTTCTCATTCGGGAGAATAAAGAGCTCATGGCCAAACGAACGAAATCAATCGATCGGATAAAATCCCGCTCGCGCGAAGTGTTTCTTGCAACGCGTGACTAATCATTAAACATGTGTCATCAATTTTTCTTATCCTCTCTCTCTTTCTCGTTTAACCAGCGCAGAATCAAAGATTCTCGACCGTGTCTCTCGAGCTAATCAAATACATACTTGTCAACATTTCTTTTTCTCCGACGTTTTGTAACGTCGTTAAAGCCGGAAAATTTCCCCGGCTGCGCGATTAATAATTATCTCTTGGTTTGTTACGCTTTCTCGAGTCCGATTTGCTCGGTCGACAGATGCAACGATCGCGCCCGATTGCCACGCGTGGCAACGATTTCGTTTGAGATACACATATACAGGGTGTTTCGTAACTTGTGGGACCATTCGTCACTTCGGAAGCTGATTGTACATATAAAAATAATGAAAAAATGCCATATAAATATATATGTCCTATCTGTCTTCGTTTATGAGATATAATGAATTTTATAAACAGAGCAAACTCTAGTAAGCTAGTTTTACCAGAGATGGTATATTCAATTTTCATAATAATCATAACTGGGATGAAGAAAACCCACGTGTTATTGTGCATTCAAGACATCAACACCAGTTTTGTTTAAACGTATGGGCAGGAATAATTGATAAATTTTTAATCGGATCTTTTTTTCTTGATGGGAAACTAACAGGCGCCAAGTACGTTGATTTTTTGAGCACGCGTTTACACGAAATATTAGAGAAAGTTCCAATCGATATTAGATTATTCGTATGCGGTTTATGCATGATGGAGCTCCGCCGCATTTTAGCCGAGTGGCCAGGCAATTTTTAAATCAACACTTTNGATAGAGAGAGTAACCAGATGAATGACAAGACGCGTGCAGGCTTGTCTTCAAATGCAAGCTGGTCATTTCGAGCATCTTTTGCAAAAGTAATCAAAACGAAGAAGGAAGGAAGGAAAATTCATTATATCTCATAAACGAAGACAGATGGGACATATATTTATCTGACTTTTTTTCATTATTTTTAGGCATACAATCAGCTCCCGAAGTGGGTCCCACAAGTTACGAAACACCCTGTATATATATATATATATATATATATATATATATTTATATATGTATGTAGAGGCGAGAAGGATGGGCGAACGAGGGCGAGCGAGGTTTCACATCCTCGTGCCAACCTCAAGGAACGGTCGATTACTTATAAAAAGGAGCGGTCATTCGGCAGCGCGCCGGCATC